ATAATGACAGGAGCCAGAACAGCCCTGGCACCCTGGGGGGGGGGTTCTAAGCTATATTCGCTATACAGATACCTGCTGCCAAACAGGGTATGGTTTTCAGCACTTCTACTCTGGAACAGGATATATAAAATCGCGCTCACTCTGGGACAGGGTATATGAAATCACGCTCTCCTTTCTGGATCAGGGTATCCATTTTGGCACTATCGGAAAAGGGTATGGTTTTCAGCGATCTTGCTCTGGAACAGGGTATGAATTTCAGCAATTTTACTCTGGAACAGGGTCAGGGTTCAGAGGGCTCAGCAGCACATTCCACCCCTAAACAGGCAGGAGTACCCCCTGGGCCCCGCACCCAAGGGAATATGCAGGTGTAAGCTAAGATATGGTTTTGGAACATCTTATAATAAGACCCATGTGTCACAAAACTAATAATCACCTTAGTAAGTATTGAGGGTCCTTCATCAATGGTTCTGTGTAGCACGATAACAAACATCAACACGATGCAGCTGATGCATAGGCTCCATACGCACCCATGGAATGTCCAGTACAGATATTCTATCTTGTCTTTCTTATTCCTTAGGAATAAATAATCAAATTAAAGGAATAAAATAATTATGTATCCTAATATTCAGTCTGATGAACATTATTCACAATACAAGGTTTCATTGTCTTTTTTTGTCATTGTCTTACTTCATAAAGTCTAATTATTTCTTGATTGGGGAGCATGAAATCCCATTACCTATTAATTATTTATAATATGACTAGATTATTACGCGCGCTCTGATTGGCCAAAAACCAATGAACTATTTCCCCATGGGCTGCACGCTCACGCACGCTGATCACAACGGACGCTCGCCTTTTTTCTCTAAATTTTCAAACCCGATGGCGTCAATAGCACGCACACGAGCGAGATGGGTGATATAATGCGCGCTCTGATTGGCTGAAATGCCTATGAACTATTTGCCCATGGGTCGCACGGTAGATTTTTGGTCATATTATAAATCAGCTAGACGACAAAAAAGTGCTTTTATGTCGTCTAACTGATAAATAGCTGCCTAATTAATGCCAAATCGACAAGACCTGTCCAATTAAGAAAATAATTGAACAGTTACCTATACGGGATTAATGAGAAGCTGTATAATTTACATTTTAACTTGGAATATGACTCACTCTAATAGGAAGACAGCTAAGGACGCCAGACAAAGAACTGCTTGTGCTGTAAATATATTATATGTTGTCTTCAGAACCTGAAAGTGATGAGGAACAATAGTACAGTCTAGTATAAGATTTCTGTTTAACAAGGGACGTGTTCAGTCAGTCTGTGATCTCAGAAGGCTGGCCTGAAATGTTTGAAACCCTGAAACAACCTCTGAGTTGATCTAATCCAGGGCATGGCTTATAATACTCCCAGCTAGATTGAATGGGTCATTTAGCTTTATTAGGTTTTGCAGAGGGAGGAAAAATGGAGAACCTGGAAGACAAAATCTTTAATCAAGAGAAAGATAAACAAACTCTACTCACATGTGATATCCAGGAATTAAATCCCAAGAGCCTAGTACCACCCTTGATTCTCTATAGCTGCACTATATAGTCTGTAGTAAACTATAGCATGTAAACATTGATTTCAAACAGGACAGAGAGGAGGAGTGCCCCCTCCCACTCCTCCTCCTCCTTCCCCCTCCTTCACCTCTCCATCCTCCTCTGCCTCCCCTCTGCCTGCTCCTCCTCCTCTTTCTCCACCTCTCCGCCTCCTCCACCTCTCCCTCCTCCTCTGCCTCCTCCTCTGCCCGCTCCCACTCCCACTCCCCCTCCCCCTTCCCCTCTCCCACCTCCAACTCCCCCTCCCTCTAGGTAGTCATACATAAAAAGTGTATACCTTCTTGGAAAGTCTAAACGATTTTGATGATTCATCAGTTCTGTCATTGAATTGTTCAAGTTCATCTTGGATAAATCCTTCATTTAATATGCAACAAAAAGATTTCTATATTATTTTCATTATTTGGATTGTTATTTTTTAAAGATGTCTCATGTTAGCCTCCCCACCCCATCAAACCAGAGTAGTGGTTTTATTGGTTTAATCAAGGTTTTTCCATATCTGAACACTTGTTATTCCCTTGATTATTATTTCCTTGTTTAACAACGATAGCTATGAAGAAAGACTGATGTGAGTCAAACTCAAACAAAGATATAATACACAAGGGAATAGGTAAGAGCTCTATTTTAATACCTCTACTTCTGTGTTTTCTCTGATATTCTAGTGCCCATGAAAGAAACAACACCTAAAAAGATAAAGTTAATTTGTTTTAGAACCATGAATAGATGGATAGATAGATGAATGGGTGGATAGATGAATGGATGGGTGGGTGGAAGGGCGGTTGGGTGGGTGGATGGATGGATGGTGCTTGGTAGATGGATACACATATAGAAGAAAGGAGGGAGGAATGGATAAAATGTAGTTTTGGTTAGATGGTAAATAGTGAAACAATTGGTGCTAATAAACCGAACCAAAAGAAAGTGTGCAAGGGATTCTGGGAATTGTAGTTAAAGACACCATAATACAAGTGTCCTACTGATGGGTGGGTAGAATGACTGATTTTACTTACATTCCTTATATATCTCTTACCTCTAATATCTTGAACACATTTTCTGGTGAAAAAGAATGTCAAAAAAATGAATTTTTATATAAATATTAAGTATAAAGCATTGTTAATTCTCCTCATTTTTAAGAAATTTGTGATGACTGAGGATTATCAGTTTGAGTGAACATGGTGCAGGATGGTCTCACTTCGGTACAAACATCTTCTGTTCATCCTACCTTATATGGTGTTGTTTGTACCCAAGCTAGATCTAAATGCATCTTTTTTGTTGAAATTAGAAAAGGCCTAAGTTTACCAATCCCTTGAAAACATTTATAAGATTCTATGTTTGAGTTGCATTTATATTCAGACATGTGTCTTGTCATGCACAATCATTAAACCAGGTTAAACAAAGAAATGATACTCTAGGGAATGACACCTGGTCTGAAAAGGAAAAACATTACACGCAAGTTAAATCGGTCTATCAAACAAGCAGATTGTACTTCAGATATACCTGTGGGAAACAAGATTTTGGGGATGACAGTATTTTCTTCCAATATGTGACCATTATCAATATAAGCTATACCAAGAATCATAGATCTGTGGAATGAATGAAAACAGCATCTTGTAAAGATGAGAAATTAAATGAGAAGTAAACATAAGTTGGGAATCCAGTGAAAAAAAAGTAAAAAGAAGGTCACAAATCCCATGTAACATTAACAAGAGATAAGATACATGTAGACCCCTTGCATGTGACCTCAAAGCATCCCAATTTGGAGGACAGAAAAAAAGAATCCCTATCTCCAGAGAATTGAACAAATTCAAAACTATTAACGTTATGTCGACGTTCTGCAAGGGGTCTATTCTCATGTTTCTAAACCAGTTTAAAGTTACCATGTCAACCACAAATCCTAAACCAGTTTAGAGTAACCATGCATGGCAGCCACGCAATATATCTGGGGGAGAGAGAAATATTCATTGGGTATTCAAAGGATAATTCCTAATCATTGTAAACTATTCTTACCTGATTCCTAGGATGCTGAAGTAAAATATCCAAAGAATATTCGAAATAGCAGTAGGACGGACTCGTATGTTCAGAACTGTTATGCTAAAACCAAAAAATAGGGACATAATAAAACTGATATACTATATTTCTATTTACAAGTTTTCCTCGTTACAAATATTAATGAATCTGTGAGCGGTGTCCACTCACTTTTTGCCCATAGTTATTGTTTTTTCCCTTGATATGTTTGGTATTATTGGCTAAAACGCCATGCATTTAAACAATTTACTATATCATGGGTTATTAAACTAATAAATTAAGCTCATCCTTCCCCGGCCTTTATCTTTAATGAAAACAAAGAAGGCTTTTTCTCTCACCCTAGCCTCCGAACAATCTGAAATACACTTCACTCTCCTATTTTCCTGCCACTGACCCTCTGCATTTTAAATAATAAATACCTGTTGAATTTCCAGCAAGTCAAGATCAAGCTGATTGTACATATTCCAAACAAAGCAAAGTTGATCCCAGCATTGATGTTACATAAGGTATTTTCTTTTGCGCTATTATCAGTACCTGAATGAGATAGCAATCATAGAACTGAGTGAAAGCTATTGGACGTTCTCTTACTTTCTAATTCCAAGGGTTTTTCCTGCCTCAAGATTTTCTCCTCCCTTCTCTAAAATCAACCCTAATTGATTCAAACTTGGTTAAAGCTGTGCTTGGGGAAATACATGGACAGTACCACAGCTGCCTGAGGCGCCTTCACACTGATGTACTTTGTGGTGGTGACAAGCAATGACAAGTTTTTGACAAGTTTTTTTTAAGTTAATTAACATGTGAAAGTATACACAGATTACGCTTGTCTTTTAAATGAATCAACAATTGTACAAGCAAGCATCCATAAGTCCTTGTTTCATAGGTTAGATAGTATGCTCTATCTGATTGGTTGAGGACTGTGCTGCAAGGTATGAGTGAACTGATTATCAGTGGAACAACATCCTTGCATTCCTTCATAGTAATAATAAAAGGGCGCTATCTTTTTCTTTTCTTTTAGTAATTTGTCTCTTCCTACTCCCCACCCCTCCCAGGCACCTACATTAAAGTCACGCGTTTTGCATGAGCCATCTTTATCAGTTTCGTATCCACCTTTAGCTCGGAAATATCACAATTTTTCCAGCAGAAAAAAGCTAAGAATCGCATTTCTTTACAATATGGCATACATAAGCTTTCAACAGGAAACAAAAATGATGATATTTTGATAAAATGGCATTATTTCATATCTCACAAATAACCTACTAAAATAAGAATAAAATCAAAGCTTTGCCAAGTCAAAGTCGTCTTATAATACTAAAAGATATACATAGAAAGTATTCGTGTACTTACTTGTAGTATTCAGGAGGTAAAACGTTAAAGAACTGATGTTTTTTGTGGACAAATTACACAACTTGTACATCTTGTCTTCTTTGCTCTTGTTCCGTGAATCCACAGGAAGCCCAACCAAAATAGTTCCAGTCTCTTCGCAGAATATTTCCAAGACATTTCACAAGTGAAAACGTTTGGAATATTCGCTACTTTCTCTATTCCTTATTTTCGAGATCTTATGTTAATACACCGAATAATCAAACATGGAAGCTTCAAGCTGGCAAACAAAGCTGTCTACTGTCAGAGAACGTAATGTGTACGCGTTCAACAAGTCCTTGTTCTGTGATGTAGAGTTCTCTGTCTTGGACGCCAATGGAGGGAGGGTAACCCTTCAAGCTCACAAGTACGTTCTGGCTATCAGTAGTCCTGTCTTTGAGGCCATGTTCTACGGGGAATTGGCAGAGACTGGAAGAACTATCGATCTACCAGACTGTACCAAGGAAGGACTACAAGAAATGCTTCATTATGTGTATTCAGACGAGGTCAGCTTAAGCGGAAGTAACGTCATGCAAGTTCTGTACCTGGCTAAAAAATACATGTTGCCGTTCTTGGAACAGAAATGCAGAGAATATCTTGAAAAAGAACTCAAACCAGAAGATGTGTTTATAGTTCTGCCTCAAGCGAAGCACCTGAGAGATGACAAGCTCGAACAACACTGTTGGAATATGGTTGAAAGAGAGACTGAGCGAGCTGTTTCGTCTGAACCATTTCTTGATGTATCCCATGAAGTGTTGTGCCAAGTTCTCGGTAGGGACGGCCTGAAAATRAGAGAAGTTGATTTATTCGTAGCAGTAGATAAGTGGGTTTTGAAGAGAATAAAGGAAAAGGGAATAGAAAACAGCGGAGAAAACAAAAGAGCMATTCTTGGTGAAGAAGCCATCCTTCTGATAAGATTTCCACTAATGCCTGAAAAGAACTTTGCTGAAATCGTTGTTCCGAAAGCCATTTTGAACCTTGAGGAACTCTCAGAATTGTTTCAGATTTTCAATTCCTTAAAGCCATCAAAAACTACATTTTCTTCTAAGAAGAGATTTGAAAGCGAATTAAGAGCACCAAAGGCTCGTTTTGACAAATATGTGGTACCCGGTGAATCATGGCACTATGAAAATAATAAAATAGATGCCATTGACTTTACCGTTAACAAAGCCGTTACTCTCTTTGGAGTACGAATGTTTGGAAGCCAAGGCAATAGTTATGATGTAGATCTAAGTATATATCAAAACAATAACGTCCTCTCACAGATATCTTCCACATGTGCAACAGAAGACATTATAACAGACGACCAATACTATGGGTTCACCGTCAACCTTGACAACCCTGTTCCACTAAGCCCTAGACTCAGGTACACTATAGCAGCTAAAATACAAGGATCACCTTCTTACTATGGCCTGGATGGTCAAGCAACTATTCAGTATGAGGATGAGTTGGAGATAAAGTACTATTATTCATCAAAGTACCACAATGGTACAAGTGATGTCATGGGACAGTTCCCAACAATCATTCTAGAGTAAAGTAATTAATATGTACTTATTTGGAGACAGGATTTTTAAAAATTTAGTTGGTAAGCCCGATGTCGACCTCAAAAACTATAATAACTATATATAAACTATAATGCATGAAGTAAAGGGGATTCATGTACTGATGCATGTACTAGAACATTAAAAGTCATCATTAACTATTTTGTGAGCGTATTCAGTTAATCTTCCAATGCATCATGGGATATCTTTATGCAATCAGAATGTCGCTTACGTCCCATCACGCAGTGCGATATATGCTAGACATTCACATGACGTAATTACAATTTTTTTTTTAAATCCTTAAATCACCCACCAACCCCTATCAAAAATAAAAACTTATGTTCCCGATTCCTAATTTTTATCTTGATCGGAAGTAAACACATAACTCTGCTTTGAAGCAGAGCATGATTTTCATTGATTATATTTCACTTCCGGAAAAATTGTGCATGGGTCAAAAAATGGATTATTCCAGAGCCCTCGTTTTTTGCCGCAGGCCAGAAGAAACGCAGGCTTTGGGTACGAGATTCTCTTGTAAGGTGGCTGCTGTTTCATTTTATTCATACCTCATAGACGTCATTGGCATAAATGTCTATTCTTAGATTCAACAAATATGTTCGAGGCTTACCAGACGCGATGAGTGGGACGGGAACTCTTTAGTTTCGCCATCGATAGCGGTTATCTTATTGTGGTGCATCATAAAATGATCAGAAAGAAACTCTTTATTTCCTTTGTAGTATTTAGTTGTATTTTCTGTTGTTTAATTCGCTCTGAAGCTCTCAAATAGCGAGTTTTGTTTTGACGTTCAGTACTGACCCCCACTTAAGCAAAACCATGTCCTTGTTCAAGTCCTTAGTACGCATGCTTCAATTCCAAGAATTGACTTTTCAAGGCTCACATTGTGTAATATTTGCCCACCAAGTTTCCGGCTTAGTACAAGATGGATTCCTTCGTTGAAAACCTCAAAAAAGATGTCCTATGTTCCTTGTGTAATGATACACTCACTGAACCTAAGCTCTCGAAATGTTTTCACGCATTTTGTGATCCTTGCATCAAAAGGCACGCCGAGCGCATCGAGGAAGTCAATGTCTTCAAGTGTCCTCAATGTAAGTCAGAAACTCCTATGCCAGAACTAAACACTGGCGTAGATGACTATCTGAAACCAAGTCTTGTACATTCAAGAAATCTGGAATTTCTAGAGTTTTTAAATAATGAAAAGTTTTGTTCTGTTTGTGAGAGGAAGCCTAAAGCAACCTGGTACTCACTTGATCGGCAACGTTTGCTATGCGAAGATTGTGCGAAAACAAATTCTATAATCAACAAAGAACAACAAAATATTTCCTTGTTCGAGCTTACTGAGGCTGATATTGAGCGGATCCTGAAGAGGGAGAGTCTTTGTAAAGATCACGAGCAAGTTTATGAATTCTTCTGCTAAAATTGCCAGGAATTCATTTGTATTCACTGTTTTAGGAGTCGGCAGTGTCGAGCCCACGAAACAGTAGCCATAATAGAAGGTTCGSTGCAAGACTTCTTTGTGAAGGAAGGAAAGGAAAAGCTCAAGCTAAAAGAAGAGGAAATACAGAAAAACATTGAAAAATATGAAGAAATAAAAGAGGATGGCGAGAGAGCAAAAGCAAAGATGGAAGAAACTGTAAAACATTTGACTGAGATGTTGCAAAAATACAAACAAGAACTCGATGAACACATCGACCAAAGGATAAAGGAAGCAGAACGTAAATCGCAGAAAGATCAAGAGAAGCTATTCCAGATTGGAAGGGCTTTGGATTACATCGATGAACTGAAAAATAATGGTGTTGTAAGTGAAATACGCCAAGCAACACAGAATATAGAAGTATACGTCGACCAAAGTTCAAATACAGCAACTGTTTCTCCGAACATGAACGACGACACAAGCAGGTTTAAGTTTGTTATAAGCGACGAATGTTCTAGATTTCTACATTCAAAACAAGGACTTGGAAGTCTAAGATCCATCCATGTTGGCCCAGAACTAGAGGCCTTGATGGAAGCAAAGCTGACGTTGGAAGCTACTGAAAAGTCTTCTGAAAAACACAAAGGTGTTGTCTGTAAGTCAAGTGATGTCGCTATTGGACCAGCGAAAACGAGCCTAGAAAAGGAGTGCAAAGACCCAAGAAATGGCGGTAAAAAAGATGAARTCATGAAGGTTGCTGATGATCGATTGGCAGCAGTAGCTTCAGAAGAAACAATCCAAATCCAAATTTCAGTGGCGAAGACTGCTCGACAAAAGCCGATTAGCAACGGCCCACACGATGTTATTGATGTTAAAATCAGCCCTGAAGATAATGTGGAAATAAAAGAAAACAATGTGAGAGCTGATGGTAAACTAGAAGTGGAGTTCATGCCTAAAGTAGCTGGTCAACTGACAGCAGAGGTTCAAGTGAATGGGAATCATGTATCTAACAGTCCACTAGTGATAAATGTGAAGCCACAGAAGATGAGAATTGCTGAGAAGTTTGACACAAAATTACAAGCACAGGAGAAATCTTTGACTCGTTTAGCTAGCATCGCTGTAAACAAGGATAACAGTAGAATCGCTGTTACAGACTGGTCTACAGACTGGTCTACACACTGTGTTTGTGTGTTCAACACTCATGGACACCCCTTACTAACGTATGACCRTGATGGACAGTTACGTTACCCTCACGGCTTAGCATTCCTGAATGAAACTGATTTAGTCATAGCAGACTGTAATAATGATAGAATATATATAGTGAACACTACAACAGGGACATTGGTAAATWCCTTWGGTAACCATGGYAAMGGSGATGGARAATTSMAWGAACCACACGGAGTACACGTTGATGACGATGGKAACATCATTGTGTGTGATYWTGRYAATCATCGTGTTCAAGTCTTCACAARAGACGGTGAMTATCAATATCAGTTTGGYTTAGAAAGTGTCGAACATTTTTCTCCAATTGCTCTGTTAAAAATCCAGGATAAGTTTTACGTTAGTGACTTCACTAACAACGTCATTCAGGTATTTGAGRAGAAAGGCAGCGTAGTKTCAAAAGTATCAACGATTGGACGAGGAGAAGGCAGTGCTGATGGCCAACTGAGTGGGCCCTGTGGCCTGGCTATTGATAAWRACCATCATCTACTGGTGTGCGATAATGGTAATAACCGCATCCAAAAGTTCACATTGGATGGTCGTTTGGTTGGCAAGACTTACGATAAAATCGAAAAACCTTGTATGAGATAGCAGTTGGGAAAGATGAKGTTCTAACAGCCAGTACAGTAAGTTCTAAGATTTTGACAATAAARTAGAAAGACAATGAATAACTAAACTTTAATTGCATCTTGTAAAGATGTCACAAACTACGCTGGTTACCGATCATGATAATTGTAGCCCTTAATTCACATGGGCATTGAAAATGCAGGCAATAAGAATGCAGGAAAGGACGAAGCTGGAGTATATATTGAATATGTTCCAATCACAAG